ATTAAGGTTTTGAATCATAATAAAAATATTTCCATTTTTATCTATCTTTTATCTTAATTTAGGTAATTGACATTAATTATAAACTGATATATAAAATACAAGTTAATCCAAATATTGCATTAATACTATTAAAAGACATGAAAATTGAATTAAAGCTATAATTAGGAAATTATAACAAAGCACTAAAAAAGAATTAATGAAGTATAGCAAAATAGACTTTAGGTAATCCAAAAGAGAAATATTCTTTTATAAATTTACCACAAAAATTTTGTATTTTTTTTTGAAAAAATAGAGCAACTTGGAGGTAAAAATTATTAAATTAGTATTTTTGAAATAATTTTTTTTGAATTTATATTGATTTTTAAGAAACCAATAATTTACAAATGATATATATTATTAATGAACCAAAAATTGATAAATAACAACCTTTAGCATTTAACAAGTAAAATTAATTTAATGGATTTTATTGAATTTAATTTGAGTTAGTATTTGAATTTTAAAAAGGTAGAGTACCTCCATTTAAATATTTTAATAATTCATCTATCTTCAAATGATCCAAAATAGGCTTTAATGATACTTTAGTATAAGTATTTAAAAATTAGATTAAATGAGGTGGGAAATTATATTACATATATTTAATATAGGATAAAGACTATAGTAGATCTATTAAATTAAAGAACATGATTGCATTTCCAGTTAGGAATGCTAATCCAGATATACTAATCATTGAATACATTATTGCATCGTTAAGGATGACAATTTGTGTCAATCTTTATTAGTTTTATTGTGAAATAATAAATGGGCTACCGAGATTAATTTACATCTAATATCTTAATAAATCTAAATCATATTCATTTTTGATAATTGATTTAGCAAAATTTATTTTTAGAAAAGCATCTTCAATAGGGCTTATAAACTCAACAAATATCAAATAAATTGGATAATCAAATTCAATTGATAGACTTGTTATATTTACTATATTGATATTAACATTAGTTTATGGTAGAACAGATATTATTACAATTTCTTCAAAATTTAAATCAGTTAGTATTTTAACTCTTTATGTGAAACTTAATTCAATAACTTAAGTTTGATTTTATGTATTGGAGAGAACATTTAATCTGAAATCTGGAGATTGAATAAATGAACAAATACTAAGAGAGTTTACTTCGTTTTTGCACTAATAGAAATCTTCTTATAGACAAAGAGATGAACATCCATCTCCTCCAATTTAATTTCCATCATCACATTATTCATATTATTCATTAAAAATTCCATTTCCACATTAATTAATACATTAGTAATTTATTAAAAGTTAATTTTCATTGCATCTAATATCTTAAAGTAATAATATTTACTCTAAAGTATCATAATTATATTAATCTCCAAAATCGTTAATATAATAACAAGTACCTGTTTATTTATTTAATACATAATTAGAATCTTTACAGGATGTACAAAATTTACTATTATTTTCACATGTTAAACATAAATTAGAACATGGGATACATAATTAATTAACATAATAGAATTCATCAAAACACTTAATACAATTAATAGAATCTATACAATATTGACAATTCTAAATACATTCAATACATTCTCCTTAATTATCTATTGTATAATTATCAATACATGATATACAAGTATGAATATCCAAACATTATAAACATGGAATTTAACATTTAAAACATTAAGTATTATATAAATAATATTGATCTATACATTCAGTACATTCATAATAGGAATTACATTTAGTACAGTTTTAATTACTAGATTTGCAATTTAAATCAATATTATTATATTCCTCTATATATATACATTATCCTTCAATAAGTTAATAATTATCTGAACAAGATGTACAAAAATCTTAATTAAATATACAAGTTAAACAAGGTATTTAACATTATTAACAATTCTTAGATTAATCTGTATAATAACCCAGTTTACATTAACAATCATTCTAGAATAAAATATGATTAGGATTAGAACATGATAAACATTTATCAGATTATTCAAAACATGTAAGACATTATGATGAGCATAGTCTACAATCAGTATCTACTAAAAAATAACCTTATTTGCATAAACATTTATTATCTTCAAGATAATAGATACTGTTATCAATGCAAGATATGCAAGTACTTATACTTGTTGAACAATCAATACATGGATACTCACAAGGCTAACAAGATAAAAAATCAATTCCTGATGATCCAAATCCAAGTTTACATATACATTTATTATTAATTAAATCATGATTTGGATCTAAACATTAAAGACAATAATCATTTGTAAATTCACATTTTGTACATGGATATTAACATTGCTAACATAAATGATTAATTTCAAAATATCCATCATTACATATACAATTATTATTGATTAAGGTTTAATTTACATCTACACATGATAGACAGTGATCTTAATTAATTTCACATGTTTAACATGGAACAATACATTAAGAACAATTAACTCCAACTTCATAATATCCTTATTTACAAACACATCTTTAAGATGAATCAATTACTTAATTAGAATCTAGACAGCTTAAACATCCATTAAGATCACATAAAAAACAAGGCTATATACATTGATAACAAGTATTAAGAGTATCAGAATAAAAAGTGTCCTTACAAATACATTAAAAGGTATCATTAATTTCATGATTTGAATCTATGCAACTATCACAATGAGTATCATTTATGGAACAAGTAGAACAAGGAGGTTAACAAGGTAAACAATTAAAAGAATTATCATTCAAATATCGAGAAGGGCATATACATTCTCCATTAGATATTTAATGTAATGGATCTTTACATTAAGTACAATGACTTGAATTTCCTAAACATTATAAACATGGACTTAGACATGCTATACAATTTACTGCAATCATTGTATAGCCAGAATTACATTAACATTAGTGTGATGTGTCAACGCTTTAATTAATATCAATACATGTTAAACAATGATTTGCAGTTCCTGAACATGTATCACATGGTTATGTACAAGATTGACAATCAGTAGGGTTATTAGTTACTACTAGATATTTTTGAGTAGGACAAACACATGTATTTGGAGTAGTGGTACTTATTTCAAATGTAGTTGCACACTCTAAACAATGATTACCATTTGTTTAACATTAAAGACAAGGATGAATACAAGGTTGACAATTTAATGATGCATCCATAAAGTATCCATCAGAACAACCACCTCTACTGCATTCATTATTGATTGGTGATAAATTTGAATCAACACATGATGTACATTTTGTGGGAAGATCCACACAATTTAACATGGAGAAGTACATTATAAACAAGTATTTTCAGAAATGTAATAATTTGATACACATGATGTACATAAAAATGCTGAAATACATTTTAAACAAGGGGCAACACAACGTTAACATATAAAAGAGGCGTTCATAAAATAATTTGGTTAACAAACACATGACGATCCTGATTAATTAGTTGGATCATTACATGATGTACATACTGTTAATGAGGTACACTTAATGCATGGTAATTAACAGGGTTAACAAGTAGTATTTTCATAATATCCATCATCACAAACACATTAATTAGTTTATAGATTTCTATTTACTCCAGGTACACATGAACCACAATTAGTTGCAGATGATGTACAAGTTGCACAAGGGCTCGTACAATTTTGACATGTTTTTGTTGTACCAATTACCTCATATTAATTAGTTGAGCATGAACATGTATGATTACTCGAATCCATTGTATAAGTTGCTGCACAAGATAAACAATAGTTAACTGTTGTTTAACATGCAGCACATGGAAATACACATTAAATGCATAAGTAACTTGAAGTATCCATTATATAACCTGATGGACAATTACATTGAGATGGTGTTTGTTTTGCAGTATCAACACAAGTACATCAAATTTTATAAATCTGCAATACTACAATTATTCCCATTCGATGAACAATTTTCACAAGGTTTTATGCATGGACTACATGAGTTAATATTTAACCAATAACCATCATTACATTAAGTACATATAGTTGTAGAACTACACACCCTACAATTACTTGGACATCCTTCACATAAAAATGTTGATGCATTCATTATGAGCCCACTATTGCATGAACAACTAGGAGTTGCTTAATTTGCAGAATCAACACAAGTAGAGCAGGTTGTAACACTTGTTGAACAGGTTGCGCATGGTTTAGTACATGCATAACATGCTTTATTAAAAAGATAGTAACCATCATGACATTCATCACAATTTGAGCTATTACCATTGAATAATTTACACGGATTTGTACTTTAGCATGCTAAAAATATTTTTCTAATTACTTTAATAGAGAATTCCACCTAATATTAATAGAAAAAGGATACTATTTTATCTCATTCTATTTTTTGAGTTAAATGAAAAATTTTGAGGATTTTATTTATATTATTACACATTAAACTGTATCATCTTAAAAATTTTAAGATAATTGAATTATTAATTATGAATTTTATATAATTTATTATATGATGTAATAAAACTTAAATGTTTGGAATAAAATATAAATAAACTCTATGGTATATGAATATAATATTATTAGGTCTCAATAATATTGAACTAAGCAAAAATAAATGAAAAAAAACTAAGAGAGTGACAAATACGCAATACTGGAAGATTAATTAACAAAATTTTAATTAGCAAACCATTATTTTCCTTAATAGCAGATTTATTATTAGACATGACGAATATTTAATGTTATTGTTTAAAAAAATATGATTTGAAATAATTGCATTATTCTTAAAATCTTTACTTATTACTTGATTCTAAAATATTTCAGAAAATTGAAAGGTCAATTTTCACGTTAATATCATCATTTGTAGAGGAAAGTTTTAATTGCGCTGCATAATATATTAGGGGGATAATTAAACCTGGAAGATTCATTCAATTTAATTATATAAAATTAATTAATTATTTATCAAATTAAAAAAAAATATATTATATATTTATATTA